GAATCTAATTGTACTTTTTTTACTCTGATATCTTTCACATTCACCTCATCTTCACCGGTTCGTTTTGTATTTCTTTTACTTAAATTTTAGGTAAATTTTTACTTAAACTGATGTAGCTCCTCAATGATGAGTCTCAATAAATTGTTATATGGCGTGATGGATTTGATATTAATTTGTCGCTCAACAAAAGCGTAATAGTATTTTTTGGTAATAAGTAAAATTTAAGAGCTACAGCTGTTTTAATGCAAAAAGTCAAGTATGCTCAAAGTACCCATTAGGTGGGGCAAGTTAAGCACTAACGATAAGAAAGTATAATGAAACCACAGGTTCAATGTCGATTAGTGATGAAATAAAATAAGTGTTTAATAATCAATTCTATATTTATAGTTTTTATTTATAGAGAAAACAAAACTCATAGTAATTTTCTTTGAATAATTAACCAAAAGTAGAATCAACAAAACAATATCGTATCTTAGGAATAATTTTATCATTATATTCAGTCTTTTTGTTTTGAATCATTATTTTTTTATATTATTACTCATAAACTTAGCTTTAATCTTAAAAATAATAAATAATTTTCAGAAGTTAAAGGTAATTGTCTTAGTGACAGAACAAGTTTAGCAACTATGCTCAACTACCCCCAACTTGGAGTTTCAAAATAAAAGTGAGTTTATAAAAAAACCATGAGAATTATACCCAGAATCTCTGTCCATATTAAAAGTACTATAACTACATGGAAGAAATAACATTTACCTGATTAAAAATAAATAACATTTGACTAAACCAGACAAAAACTCGCGATGAATGACTTTTTTACTTTTTGGTCTCAAAATAAACAAAATGCCTTACTCATTTGTCCAGCGGCCACTAGCGATTGCGGGATGTTTATTTTTCCCAAACCTATATCTTTCCGCCATATGATGCCTAAATGAACGGTGAATAGTTTTCGAGATATTTCAATTGCTGAACTTGCCCCTATGCTCAACTAGCCCCGCTCAACCCTACCGAAACAACGTTCAGTAAAAGAGTGTTAAACAAGATCTCAACCTATGTAAGATACACTCGGTCAAGTAAGAGCGTGGTCGGGTTAATTTATAAAAATAATTATTTTATTAAACTTTAATATTTATATATGCATTGTATACGTTAAAAGCAAGGATGCAATTTTAGTCAATATGTGTCCAGTCACCACCGGAGTCGACAATTGCCTGGCATCTCCGACGCCTGCTTTTTACTAATTTAACGGATTATTTTAGTTCGACGGCTCGTATTTTAATTTAACGGCTCGATGAGGGCAGTACATGCTCATATAGAACTTTCATCAGTGAAAATGACAATTTCAAAATCTCTAACAATATTATCATGTGCTCAAACGGAAAAGAAGCACATGTTTTTCAGTCGTCAGAGGCTTCCCCGTTGAGTTGCGCCATTTTAGATCATGAATACGAAGAAAGGTTCAGATAGTTTTGTAGATACTTTTGTAGATATTTCTAAACATTTTGCCATTAATTTTTCTCGTCCTTACTGCAGTGTTAAAGCAGGATTCCGCAAAAACAAATTCACTGTTCTTATTTTTTTTTATTTTATTTGAACCACGATCTGAAAAATCATCGACATTTTTAGCAACTTTATATAGGTGTATCGAATTCTGTACAAATGCCTTCAACTTTCTCATATATTTAGCAGCAGCTGATTGCTACATTTGGGTACCTTTTAGGTGCATGCAAAAGGGCGCAGCCTCGTAGCGCGACGCGTAACTCAGCACTCATGGCGTTTAACGTAATTTTTTCTCAAAAGATCAATTGCAACTAAACTTTTTTTGACCATGCATCAAGGACAAAGCTTCACTTTATTGGCTCACGAAAGAATTAGACCGAAATCTTTCATTAACTGTCGTTAAAGTCGACCACGCTCTTACTTGACCGACTGTATATAAAATACAAATTGTGGTTTAAATGATATTTTTATCATCAATGAAAGTACACTTAATTGGTACTTAACGATTTCTGATTGTCTAAGTGGCGCAACGCGGCTACGTGTACACCTTAAACGCATCCGGACGTCCGTCGCCGTCGCCGTCGCTGCCGCCGCCCGTTACGGTGCTCGGTCAGTGCGGGCAGCGGCGACACGTGAACGGAAATTGGATCGAACGCCTCTTTGACGTGTGTCGGATGTCTACGCAAACATACGTTGCGTCCCACCTCAAACGACACTACAAACACGCTAATGTGATTAATAATGTTCGCCCGGTTTTAATTATACGCATCGAAATATTGAATTAAGTATCTGCAGAGCCGTATCAACCTATTTAATACTAAAGAGAGCCCTGACCATCGTGATAAATTTATTGTAAATCTGAATTTTGTGATTATTGGAGACACACCCAGAGGATCATATATTTAATTCAAGACGAAATATAAAGTGTTGTGATTTAAATAATATGCCCTTATCGGTCAGAAGTGACAAGGATTAAACCAATCAAAATTAAAAAAAAGAAGTTAATGAACTTTTTGTTGGAGATGATAGCAATGTAAATTTCGAAAGTAGTTAAAAAAGTGCATATCATGTCTGCGAAAAAATATCCAACACATTTTTGAAGTAAAACTTCTTTAGGCGCGACTAGGGTGTAAATCCGTACAAATGCAACGGAAATGCGTTACGCCCGAACTGTACTTTATCCGCTCTCAATGAAATCATTTCAATACGGGTCAATTGTGATTAGTCGTCGTGTAAGTGAATAGAGATCTGTCGTTGTATACGTACCAGCATCAACGTTGTATGCGTACCAATATCACAAGGAAATCGGCATAGATAAATAAACATTTTAAAGTTACATCGTAGTACAAATCTTGAGTTAATGAAAAATCCCTGAATCAGAAGAATATTTTATCCTGTTCCTTGAAAATAATAAAACATATTAAACATTTATGCCATGCACTAAACGTAAGTTGATTGATTAGGAATTATTTCTAAATTCGTAGTTTCTATAAATCTTTGAAGTTATTAAAATGGAAAATATTTTTTAGGCAAGACAGATATTACAGCTGTTCAAAAAATGAGATTATATCGCCAGCGAAAAAGTAAAAAAATTACATGAAGATCTTCAAACACAATTACACGATGAGTGAAGTTGCGAAAACAATATTTGTTTAAGCGTTGTTTAACATAATCCACTGTGTGAACGAATATTATAAAAGTTACTTATTAATTAGCTTATATTAATCAAAAATTACTTCATTTCTCTAATAAAGGTTTATTTCTAAATGATAATTACAATGACAAACCGATCATGTCATATTTGAAGTATGACTTTAATTACATTATTGTTTTTAAATATTATACATATTTTTAATGCTATTATAAATATATAATTTATAATTTATCATTATATAAATGTGTATAATGCTTAACACTGATAAATTTATGCATCACGAGTGTTACCATATTACTAATAAACATTATTCAAAATTGTTATATGATGTATTTATTTTTACTTAAATGCTATCTTGTAGCAAATAAGTTTTACTTCAATCGCGTGTGAACCTTATGCGCACTTTTTTTTTTAATTAAATGAGTTTTCGCATATTCACCGAGTTGAATGCAGATTTGTTCTAGTTACATATATTATTAATCTAAGACCAAATATCCAGTTTTTTTGCTACAGTTTGAATTAAAAATTGCCGAGCTGTAATTCAAGTGGTCATAATCAGTTGAATTCCATAAATTTTATTCATTATTAATTTAAGATGATTTTGTCTGATGATTTGCATTGAGCACATCCAGAATTTTTTCCAGAGCCTATTTGCCATCAAAATTGCTGAATCTACATTTTGCAGTTCAGGTCTAGTAAATTTGCCAAAGTGTGCCAAAAAATGGCCGTACTTGGTTCCAGTGGTCATAATCAGTTGAATTTCATCAATTTAATACACTAACCTCTATAATGATTTTATTTGATGATTTGCATTCAGACTATTCAGAATTCGATGCCTATTTGCCATCAACTACATGTTGAAATTTGGATGGAACATTGGTTATTAGCATTAAGAATGTCTTAAGTATTTTATTCAAATAGGGAAAATTTATGCATAAAGTGATATAAAATTATACAGTTATAATTATTCATCATACATATTTTATTCATAAACTTTCAGTTGAAATATTAAGATCTGAAATAAATTATAATTACTATAATATATTTTTTATAAATAAGCTTGAAAGTATTTTCCCGTGAATTAAATGATACAACTAAAAAATAATGAAACAAGAGCATTATTACATATTAAACTATAGATTATGACTCTTATATTTCTCTGAAACTCCAAAATGTTAATAGTATATCTATGTCAGATTTTGATATTTAAATAAAAATTAGCACTCTAGATATTAATGTTTCCTATATATTGTTGTAACATTTCAAGATAGACAACATTTCTATTGCTCATAACTTTAGATAAATTTTGATCCGGTTCTGACTATTTGACATCTCCAACTAATATTTGTGTCGTTGTTCTCTGAAATATAATTTAATTCGATGCTGATATCCGATGACAGTTATCTATTCTTTGCGATTGTTCAATGTGTACATTGTGATAATGTATTCCCCTGATGGCTGCTATTAATGTGATTAACAATGCGATCTTTAAATTGATTTTAGATTTATATAATTATAACTTAACTATTAAATCTTACAATGAGCAGAAACTATAATTCATACTTTTTCAAATTTAAATTTTTGAACATCATAAAAGTTTTGGAAATATAAAATTTTCCAATTTATTGTGTTTATTCGTTTTCATCAAAGTTTATTTGTATAAGTAATAGTGCATTAAATACTTTAAAGTATCGGCCAAAATTGACTTTTTACTTGAGAACAGTAAACAAAAGAATATTTAATTATTCAATGTATTTACATGAACAATTTGTAATATATTTTAATTTTTTTAAATATTACGTACAATTTTTAATATAATATGAATTAATCATTTCTTATTCTTTTCCAGGATGGAATCAGCCCAATTAACACTTGCTTCACATATTCTTAAAAGTCGCACGACTGTTCACGAGCGCAAACTTTCTCCGCCGCCCCATTCTGGTCAGCATTTAAATTCAAAACCGAACCAGGTAATACAATATCTAATATTATTCAATTTTATATGCAATATTTTATATTAACTACTACTATCATTAGTTTGCATTACTTATTTCATTCATTTTACTCTTACTTTGAATTTTATTAATATTACTCTTATAGTTCAGAAAACGAAAATAAATTTTCAATTGATATAATTATACGTCTTATTTTAATAAAATGTCTATTATTTTAGTTGTTTAATATAAACAAAATGTGAACTCAATCTAAAAAAATGATAGGATCATGCTTTTCAGGTTGGCACTGTGCATTTGTACGGAGTCCCCATCGTTTCCCTTGTTATAGAAGCCCAAGAACGTTTGTGTTTGGCGCAAATATCAAATACTTTACTGAAACAATTCTCTTACAATGAAATTCATAATCGAAGAGTAGCATTGGGCATAACTTGTGTTCAGTGTACTCCCGTACAATTGGAAATACTGCGAAGAGCAGGAGCCATGCCCGTTTCTTCAAGAAGATGTGGTAAGTGGGATTTTTTTTGTGATCCTCTTATTATAATTTTGCGTTAGTATAATGATTTTTATACTTTCGGCCAATTTTAATAATGTCAAAAATCTTGTACAAGAATGTTTTATATCATGAAAAAATTTAGTACATATCTAAACATTTGTATTTATGATGCATGTAATTTTCTCAACTAAAATACTCATGTGAAGTTCAAGATTTCTTGAAGATTAATGTCCTTTTTATGAGTTCCAATACAACAACACGCTTGTTATTACTTTCTAGGAATGATAACAAGGCGAGAAGCAGAGCGGCTTTGCAAGAGCTTTCTCGGTGACAATGCCCCACCCAGATTACCTGACGATTTTGCATTCTCAGTTCACCACGAATGCGCTTGGGGATGCAGGGGAGCATTCCTCCCGTCAAGGTAAGCATTCTTATTTGCATAATATGCTTATTCACTTGCAACATAACTTATTGAAATTGTTTGTGTATATTTTGCAAACAACTGAGGATGATCAATTGAGGAGAAACAATTCAATTTTGTTACAGAAAAATATTTACGATGAATAAACTGTTTCAGAAATCGATACTAAAAACATATTGAAGTCTTTTTTTATTCATCTAACTTATTTTGAAAATCTTAAAATAGTGTGTAGTATTAATTTTAATCCAAGGGATCATCAAATATACATTGTTTATTAGTATTTTGAACATTCTCTGAATCATCAATTTTATTTCAGGTATAATTCTTCGAGAGCCAAATGCATCAAGTGTAGTTTTTGTGGACTATTCTTTTCCCCAAATAAATTTATTTTTCACTCACATCGTACTGGACCAGGTGATAAATACGTACAACCCGATGCAGCTAATTTTAATTCCTGGAGGCGCCATATGAAATTAAGTGGAGGACCACCTGATGAAGTTGTGCACGCTTGGGAAGATGTTAAGGTAATTTATATATTTAGTACCTAATTCTAGTTTATTTATTACATATTATGACTGAAGTGTAGATACAAAGTAAAATAAATATCACAGTAAAAAAATATGAGAAACTATTTGAACTCAACAAAATGACTAACCTTAAAAAAATATATCTATGAAGTATGTGTTACCTTTTAGATATAATTATTGAAGTGATAGGAATATTTAAACCAATTTTTATATCTTGTTTGATTCAGATTTGAAAATAGATGTTGTTGTTAGTAGTGTTTGCATTACTAAATCACACACAGATAATTGGTATTGTACATAGCAGGATTTTTTATAAATGTTTGAAATCAATTGGATTATTTATATTATTCACCTTGTTTAGCCACAAATATAGCGTAGCTAACTAAACTTACTTAACTAAATTAAACCTGTTTGTACTTACTTTCCAGGCTATGTTCAACGGCGGAACTCGAAAGCGCTTATTATCTCATGGGCGTGAATCGACCCCAAAACAAATGAAAACATCTAACAATCATTCGCATCAAAGTGATGCCAGCAGTCCAGTTCCTTGCCCTCAGTCACAACTTATCGGCGTCTCCACCGCTCCAGCGCATCCTTCGCCAGCTCCTTCGCGACTACCCGTAAACTTTCCGCTTGAGCCTTTATCTATCACTAGAGGCTTAAGTGTTATGGATTATATGTGGCAGAAACAGTTTCAGTTCCCGACAGCTGCTTATACAGCGTTACCTTGGTTAAAAAGGCCAGTATTTGGGGCTCCGATGGTAGCTGGCGAACAAACAGCGTTGTACCATCATCATTCTGCGTTTAGGCCAGTTATAGGAGCGCCGGCGATAATTAGACCCCAGTTGGAAGATGCACCCAGAAGACAAGGAGTATCGACTAGTGACAGTGATGAAGAAGAGCAAGACGTTTTGGTCGATGTGGAGTCAACGGAAGACGATGCTACAAATGGACAGGTTAGTGGAATTTTGAGTATTTTTTTTTGTCTAGGTTAAACAAACGCGTTGAGGATAGTGGATACCTATTTCGTGCGCATAGAGCTATAACTAGTTTGTTTTGCATGACGATCCTATTTAGGGTACATATCATAACAAGTAATCGAGTTGAATTATGAAGTGATTTGGAATTCATTGTATTTATTAACTTTTATAATTCAGATACGGATTTTATTGAAAAATGATATCGTTCCAGAATTTAGTTAGTTGAATCGAAGTAAAGGATTTAAGCAATCAGACACGGATTTTTTGGAAAATGACATTAATATCGTGTTTTTATGAAATCAATTATAGATAAAAATTAAAATTGGTTTGTAAAGATATAACCTTTCTTTTACACTCCAGTTTTTTGTTTTCATCTTCGTCATGGTCGCACTATTTTTTAATAAATTATGTACATATATTGTAAAAAATGATTCTGTTATTTGCTCAGCTTGAACAAGTTTACGCTATCAATATATAAACACTAATTAAAAACGAAGTTTAAAAATAATTATGCTTTTTATCTTGATATTTCAAGCAAACCAGCTCATACACAAATAAAATTTAGTTTTGATCATAAAATGGGGAGTTACCGCCTTATCGACATATTTTCATCATAAACATGGACTACTAAGAATTTTCGACTGTAACATACATTTTGTAGTGTCGTATTTTGACAGTAAATTATCTTGACAGTAAAAAGATAACATGTTATTGTAAATATAAGCAAATTATAGTTAAGTTTTTATAATTTATTATTCAATTTAGTTAAAAAAATTATTTACAAAAACCGCGTAAGATCGAAAACGTGTAAAATGAGGGATAGGTGTATAATTAATCATGTTTTTGTTTTTTAACTTTAAAATCTTAAAAAGCTAACTGGAAACATTTATCTAAAATGTAAGGATCACTCAAATAACAACATCCAGACTCTTGGCCAATATACACGCGAAATAGCTTGGTATGGCAAACACGCCGTACATGGATGTAACTAGAACCCTTTTTATTTTGCTAAAAACTGATGTAATTTTTTTATGAATGGTCAAAACTATTCTTTTTTGTCGCATAAAAATAATACACTGTTTTATATTTTTATATTACATGTAAATGTACTGATTTAAAAAAATGTATTGATAAAGCATGATACTTAAGGGTAGACTTATGTACCAATCCACCATTATGTTGTATACATTATATATATATTGAAATATATCTTTTTTTAATTGAATTGAATTAACTTCAAAATCAAATTAGAATTGATACGTGCGTTCTCAACATAATTTGCCCTAATATTTTTGCTACGATAGTATTCACCGTAGGAGTTCCGTTTCGCGACGCATGTAGCGATAGTATTAATTATATAAAGACTTTGTGTTAATAATAATAACATATTATTACGAGTTTCCTTAGATATAATTCAGAGCAATGCATTTGTATACTTTACCGTATACAAGTTTCATCCCCAGCTAATGACATAGCGGCATTCTCCGTCGTGTCATAATGTGAATCACTTAATCGTAGCGTTTTCTTCAATCGATTGTCGTCCCTGGCTTAATGTTCGGTCTACGCCTCCAATCGCTCAGCGTAGTGTTGACACTGTTATTCAACACTCGCGTGTAAAGTAATAATATTTAGCCGCTGCACTCGTGACCCTTTTTTGTTGATCGACGATAAACAAACGACGACTCTCTCAAATTGTATAACCCTTGAGAGGAGTAATCACTTTAACGAATTGTGCTTTTTGTTACATGCTTCCATATAAAGACATCTTCTCTCAAGTATATAAATTGATTGGTTAAAAAAAAAACTTAAAAATTTCTTAAAAGTATTAAATATAAAAAAACGAGGCTTCGAGATTGTAATTGAAATTTTGTTTACAAGGTTGTAATAAAAATAATTTACCAAACGCATAATATTAATATACCTTGCTTACCAAATTTGATAGTTTAAGATAACTATTTTAAAAGAGGCTTTTTTTATTCTTTTTTCTGTCAGTTTTAAAATCATTCACAACTCACTAATTTGGAATCGTTGTAAATACCTTACCCTATACATAAACTCCAAATGTTGTCAAATATTCTATCGCAAACAAAATTAACTTATTATAAAGCCATTACTTTGATTATGCTGTTTAGCATTAACGGTGTGACCATAATTTTCTGTATTGAATCGTTTATGTATTTAAGAATATAAGATGATTATGTATATGGTATTATAGTTTTCTTGAAAAATAATAATCATAATAACAAAAAACATTATTATGGTATCATAGAAAATATGAAATTTGCGTAAATAGCATTTTGCCGGCATATTACATGAACTTCGCAATATATGTAAATAATCGACTTCAGGTTTAACTATTTATATAAAATTACGGTTCTCGTTTTTACTTCGCGTTCAGTCAATGAGATTTTTAATTGGAAAAACAAATTTCACACTTATAACAACTGTATTCTAAAACGTAGATAAAAAAAAATCTTATCTATCAATTTAAAAAAAACGTCTCGGCCAATCCTGCGCAAAACATAAAACATTATTATGGTATCATAGAAAATATGAAATTTGCGTAAATAGCATTTTGCCGGCATATTACATGAACTTCGCAATATATGTAAATAATCGACTTCAGGTTTAACTATTTATATAAAATTACGGTTCTCGTTTTTACTTCGCGTTCAGTCAATGAGATTTTTAATTGGGAAAACAAATTTTTCACTTATAACAACTGTATTCTAAAACGTAGATGAAAAAAAATCTTATCTATCAATTTAAAAAAAACGTCTCGGCCAATCCTGCGCAACTAATCGACGCAATTTTTTTGCTGGCTTTCATGCAAGTTATACACACTCTTTTCTTTACGTACAGTACACAAATATCTTTTTCAATTTAGCTGTCAATCGATTTAAAATGACTTGAAACGTTGAGAAAAAATTTATATTTAGCAAATTAGATTTTATGATGGATTCCGAAAATCTGAATCAGACCAGTGGTTACTTCAACCCACAAAACCAGCTCAATATGAACCAATCTTAACTACACAAATTTGATCGTTGATGAACAATAGAGGCAGTAGGTAACGTCACAGCCAAAACGCAAAACAAACAACGGTACTAACTAGACTTAACCACTATTCAATAACAATAATGAATATAAACCGAACCTGATATCAGTAACTTCATGAGTATTTATGAAATATGTATTGCATATTATATGTTGATACATGTATGCCGAACAGAATAATGAGCAACAAAACAGATGTTTGCAGCGTATATTTAAATCTGAAAAATTGGTTTTTAAAAAATTTCAAAATGTGATGATTTTTCTTCACATACATCATTTTTTGCATCACTTGCATATATAAATAATTATTAAAAAAAGATTATGACGATAAAATAATAATATACTCGATCAGTTTCTATATTAAAAAGACTAATAAATTTGCAAATATTAATAAATAATTTCGACATCGATTTTTCGCATTTTTAACGTTTTCTTCAATTACATATAAATACATTCGCAGATCTGTGCCCAGAATTGATCAGCATTTATCAAGTATTTATAACTATGTACGTACTTTTTTGTGTTTTTTCATACACGTTATTTTTTAATTTACTATTATATTATAAATAATTACTTAAGTTTTATTAACTTCCCATAGGGCAAGTTATAGTAGTCGCAAAAAAGCGCAAATAAAAGAACATTTTGGCATATCTCGAAAAAAAATATGTATATGCGTGTGTTGTGTATGTATGCGTCTATAGTTTTCGTTGACGATTTCGAAAACACATCCGACCGATTTGAATGATTCAAAAAACATTATTGACTAAGCGAAGAATCGACTTTTGTAGAAAGCTGGTCCAGCGGATTTGGACAGGCAGAATGCATCAAAAATTGACATTAGATGGTCATTGATCATATGCACATCAAATTATCAGATATTTTATATAGATTTTATTAATTAGTACACATTTTGTTTTCATTTCATTGGGATCCGTATCAAAAACTGTTTAGAATTACAGCGTTCGTCGCCTAATTTACAAACTTTTATATTTTTTCTATCAATACGAATGATAAATCTCACAGAATTTATAATAATCCATTTGAAAATGTTTCAAATAATTGTTATGAATATGAATCGTTACGGTTCGAGAAGTTGCAGCAATTTGTCTTAAAGCAAAATGCCATGCACCTCTAGTTTATTATTGAATCACCAATACTACAGAATTAAATAAATAATATATAAACGTATCATCTGTTTTTAGATAGACGTAGCTCGTCCGGATATTTTCTTTGCCATTTTTTACACGTGAAGTATTGCTCATAATATGAAACATAATTATACAATTTATTTTTGTTATGCGTATTACTCGTAAGACAAGTCTTCGTCAACCATTGGTTTATCTTACAAAAAATAAGTTTGTACCCATTTTTCGACCTCGGCCCTTCTAGTTGCGGGCCACTGAACTACCACTAGTAGTCGTCCAAGTCAATACGGTATCTGAATTATTCTATCTACAATATATCCTCGGTGCACTGCTTGCACATAGTATATAAATACCGAGCATATCCAAAGCACATTACACCCCGAAAGCCACTCAATTATGTCATCCAAGCAAACATGAATAATAGAGCAGAAAGCAATTACAAAAATGAATTACAAAGGCCGACGCAATGTCGAGGGTGACGGATAAATGTCGTTGTGACACACGATATGTTTCGTTTTGCCTTCAGGTTAGGAATTAGGGAATTATTGGGAGCAGGTATTTATTTAGTTTATTATTTTGTTGTACTATTTCAATATGCAACATCTTTAAATTTTTTTTAAAAGTTTTTGTTATATTCACGTAAAATACAACAATTAATTTTCTGCAATCTTTTATTTTGTTGGATTATGGATTCCTCTGGCCTAGTGGTTAAAATGAGTTCGATGTCAAGCAGCAAACACATCGGTTTTTATATTGATAGCAATATGTTTCCAA